TGATCGGAGAGAACAGCAGAATCAGAGTTTGTTTTATAATCTACAGGGGAAGAATAACAGATAAATGTATATGAAACTGATTGGAGAGAACAGCAGAATCAGAGTTTGTTTTATAATCTACAGTGGAAGAATAACAGATAATTACAGATGGAACTTACTGGAGGAAACAGCAGAATCAGAGTTTTTTTATAATCTACAGATGAAACTTACTGGAGGGAACAGCAGAAATCGGATAAGTTTTCTGAAAGCTGCTGAAGCCTTTACTGTTCCCAGCTGCCACCTGAATATAATAAGTTGAACCATGGACTAAGTTAGTGACGACCACCTCCAACCTCTGCACATCCGTAACTTCTTGAGATGTCACCAAGGAACTGAAGTCTTCCACGGTACTACATACAACTAGGTAATAAATAACACACGAACTTACTTAAATGAATACCAATAACCAATATTATTGTATTTTATCAGAAGAATTGATCTAAAAAATAATAAATACAAGTTCACTTATTGCGCTAGTATAATGTACCACATCGTTTATTTTCTCGTAGATTAGATGGACAATAATTGAAAATATTCAAATAGTCAAATAAAAGCAGCTAAAATGATGTATGATTAAGAAACTAGCAAAGCAAAAAGGTTCATGTTTCATTCACATTGACGCCATAATTATCAGGGACAAAACGCTGGTAGTAGAGGTTCAACCAATTTATATTCTAAAAATTAATTTACAGTTATCTAAATGATTGTACTGCTTTATTTAATAGTGCGGAGTTAAAGCACTCATTTTATCACATGGTTAGTATGGCTTGGACACCTACAGATAAATGATTAATTTGATGTCGCGTCTTATCTTTTATTTAAAAATAATAATATGAAAAATTATTGTAAAAATTGAAATGGAAAATAATTTTATTATAAGTAATATAAATAAATAAGAATACGGAAGAAAATATCTGGTGTGGGAAAATCTCAAAAATTTCTAATCACAAGTCCAAGTCAAACATGAAGTTTTTAACCAAAAGTCCAAGTCAAACATGAAGTTTTAACTACAAGTCCAAGTCAGACATGAAGTTTTAACTACAAGTCCAAGTCAAACATGAAGCTTTTAACCCCACGTCCAAGTCAGACATAAAGTTTTAACCACAAGTCCAAGTCAAACATGAAGTTTTTAACCACACGTCCAAGTTAAATATGAAGTTCTTAACCACAAGTCCAAGTCAAACATGAAGCTTTTAACCACAAGTCCAAGTCAAACATGACGTTTTTAACCACACGTCCAAGTCAAACATGACGTTTTTAACCACACGTCCATGTCAAACATGAGGATGTGCACAGTTTTCGCCAAACACTAATGTAGTTGCACTTAATCTTGCTATATAAGTAGATCCTGGATGTTAAAGATTTATTACCTTTGTATTTGGTTACAATCGTTTCTGGAGCTTTTGCCGTTTGTGATTCTTCGATCCTTATTTTCAAGGAATCAGTTCCAGCTACCTCAAGGTGCACTAACTTAGGTAGGTCTGGCACTCCTAGAAAATCATGGGAATCTGAGTAATGTTATAAGTTTAAGACTTGATTAACAACTATTAAACTTAAAATCTTTTTTAGAAGAGTTGCTAAATAACAAGCAAATATAAAGGCAGAAAGTATAAAAAGAGAAAGCTAAGTAGGTTTAAAATGTCGTGTGAAGCTATTTTACTTTAGTTATCACTTGAAACGACAAATATATATATATCTCAACATTTAATATACAAGCTTTAGAAATACATCACACGCCATCTTGAATTTAATATTTACATATATTTTCGTAGATGACTTTCGCATTAGTTTAATGGTGAGGGCTTATTGTAGTTGTTTTAATCATTAAAATATATTTCCTGATTTGGGGTAATTTGCAGAATAGAAAATATTATATGTTTTATTACTAGTGTTTATTCTGTGTGTGTGTTTCTTATGAACATATAGCAGTTTAATCTTTTAGAATATTTTGTTTCTGCCTTAATATTTCAAACGCTTTTGAAGCCTTAAAACTTACGTATTTGTTCAAATCCTTTCCCCATTCTTTTCAATAGCTCGTGACGTCTCTGCCAAAGTGCGAGTTGTCGTTCCTTTTCCTGTGGCAATCAATAGGATAACGTCACATAACCTTCAATTAAGAACCTTAATTCTCTACTCTATAACAACTAGAAAAACAACAACAGATAAACGAAAAGTCCACAACACATGACTTTATGTAAGATCACAAAAGTTTTAACTCATTTCGTCACATAATTCGAATACTACGAAAGAATTTCGTACAAATGATCGTGATTATTATATATTTAAACTTGAACTTTATTCTTTTATACAATTCCTTGAATTAAAAGTATCTTTTGTTGGTAAATACAGTCTGGCAAAAACGACCCCCTGTCGGACATATCTTACCTTAAAAAGGGGTGCTGTGAAGCTAGTGTTGGTGGAAGCACTAACCAGACAAGATTTTAACTCTTCAATACAACGCTCTGCTTCTTCAACCAGAGTACTGATGTGACTACTTCGGCACTCCTTGGTGGGAACTGATAATATGACAATGATAAAGTATACAAAACCTGTTACAAAATAACTATTTTTGATATACAGAAACAGAGTCTTCTTGCACCTCGTTGCTGCCAGTGAAATAATAATAAAAAAACGTCTATTGTATGTGTAATGGGTGGAACGAATTTCTTAACGAAACCGTCCTACAGTTGAATTTAAATTCAGAATACCACATACTAAGTTCTAGGTTTCCGAGATATTTGCACTTGTAACTTTTGTACCGTCCTTCAGTTCACGGAAATCTACCTATATATATATTATGCGTAACTTCGTACATAATTTCTTTGAAAAATCAACAGATTCTGATTTAGGAAGAGGCCTAGAACAAAAACATGAACCATTACGTGCATTATAGATTCAAAAGACAGCACAGGAACAAGAGACTTTTCCCTGGAATGTCTTTCATAGTTTTAAACTAAAAGTTGTTTCATAAGTTTATTTATTCTTAAGTACAAAGCTACATAATACACTATTTGTAATATGCCCACCGCGGGTATGAAAACCCGATTTTTAGCGTTATAAGCCCCCAGACTTACCAGTGAGCCAGCGAGGGCCTGGTTTTTTTACTATACCCAATGTTCTCACACTCAGTGATAATCAGTGTACGTTTTGATTTTAGACTAAACTAAATTTATTTGTAAAAAATAAATAACTTGAAAATAATTCCAAAGCACAGGAGAGAAAAACATGAACGTAACTTTAAAATCTATTTTGTGTACAAAACAAAAAAGTTTTATATTTCGTAAATTTTAATCTTATATAAATAAGGATTGTAACTAAACTGGTAGTATTTGATCTAAGACAAATGTCGAGATATTTCACAAATGTAATTAAACTTTGGACCAATATTATTTTTACGCAGCCTAAGAAAGAACTCTATAAAAAAAAGAAACAGCATTCAGTAAACAACTTACATTTTGTGCTTTCTCTACCTCCACGTGACTGAAGAAGTTTGACCATTGAGGCACTGTTAGTCATCAGAGCGATGTCCAGTGGAGTAAAGCCATCTCCATTTACGCTATTGAAATAGCATATGGTTAAAAGGATATAAATAAAGGAATATAATCAATGAGTTACGCGTTACATGTTACAGTATACCTTACCATATATATATATATATATATATGTTGTTGGAAGACAAATTGCAGGCAGTTATCTGGTCGTATGTATATATATATATATACAGTATATGTAGGCAGACGAGATGGACTTATTCTGCCAATGCAACTCCCTCTTCCCAACAACACTTCGGCACCGTTAAAAACAACTTGTCATAACTTGCATTTCACGAGATACATTGTGACAACTCGAAATTACGACGATGGACATTGACTTGATCATGGAAATATGGCTATCAAACGCTATTGATTTCTCGTCGAGTTAGTAACTACACTGAAATACCTTCAATACTTTCTGAATCAAAGATCAAAAATACACGAGTACCACCGAACGTTTCAACCGCGTGTAATACCCCTTTAGAGACCGTCGTGAATTAATTGCTGATTAGATACTGTATTTGGTTCTACAATCAAACAACATACACCTCGTTTTTCATCTAACTTGTTACCGTCATGAAGGTACAATTCTAAAAGTTGCAAGGTTCAATTTCCTAAAAAGATAAATAATGATATAACCTACAAGCCTGCGATGGTTTTATTGTCCTGAAATTTTTACATTTAAAAATATGAATAAATGAAAAAGACAATTAGTTGACCGATATTCCCTTAATAACTGAACAGTGTAAGCATATTTAGCTGTAAAATACATTATAAATGACTTATCTGCAAGCTGGTATGGCCAAAGAGCAAAGTAGGGCTCGAAAACTACTAATGTAAAAGACAATATGTTGATTCTTCTTTAAACAAAGTCGCTTTTAAACAAATATTATATCAAGTCATTGAAAAGGTAAACACTATGTGACTCTTAAAGTAGTATGTCACATACTCTAGTGAATAAGGCTTTAATTGAGCTTCAAAAATATTTTCAAGGCATTCGATAAAACTTAGGGAAATATAAAATTACAAAAAGAATGGTTGTCTAAAGAATAAGGATGCAGCAGATGATGAAGTAGATTCAGCTTATCTTTAACGTGTTTCGTTTTTGAAAAAATAAGCAATAATTATGTTGAAGTCAATTGCTCTTATAGAGGCTGAAAAGGTCAAGTAAAGAACAGAATAAGACTAACATAACTGCTAGGAAATAACCAAAATATTGCAGAATATGTCTTTATCATTAACTTCAATAAGATAAAAATCAATTATTAACCTCAGTTAGGAAAAAATGCAGTACACATAGAAAAGTATTCAAATTGTCTTGTTACCTATATAGTATTAAGTTTGAAGAGATTGTGGAAAGTAGTTAATTTAGGAACAAAAACACTATCTTGTACATAATTCATATTTATAGCATTCCATACTCAGTGACCTAATGCTAGAATCATACTCCAAACTGCATACAATAAAAAGAAACTTGAAAATATTAGACATAAAAATATATAACTGAATGGTGTTAAAGTTTGGGAAGAATTTGATTTCTTTAGTACTGAGATCAATAATACCTACTGGCAAACTGACAGTCAATATACTGTGTCTTTCGTCAACTCAGAAGGGTATAAATTCCACTGTTTGACACTTTATTTATATCGGGATCTATACCACTTGTCTTCACGACTGAATAATTACATGGTATGAAATACCACTTGTGTAAAGCAGCTTTTATTACCTGCTATTCCACATCTCTTCACTGTAACACACTCATAATAAGTATACGGTTAATATGTGTAAAGCAGTGTTTCAGGTGATCAGTCCACACTTCTTACGTCACGAACGTGAACGCGTCTCTCTAAGTCTAAGTGCTCGTTTTTAGCGGGTGACATAATCTTTTATCTACAACATCCTAAAGATCACTGTGCGCATCTTCTATAAGATTGAATGATACACGTCTAAAAGTGTATGTACAGCTTTAAACGTCTTTCCTAATTCGATCACAAACGTGCGAAGTTGGATAATTTATTGAAGATTTATTGGTTTTAGTACATCTGTTCCGCCACTACGTCATTATAAGCAGGTGCGGCATGATATACTAGTGAGAAGTGACATCAAGGTTTCCTGTAAAACTGCTGAGGCGACATGTGTACTTCCCTTCCGCTGTTTAAAACTCTTGGTTATAACAACAACAACAACAAATGTTTACAGATGTACAATTTTCAGATTAATTACAACTGTTTTTTTCACCATGTTTTGTTCATCACAGCTTTATCTGGGTTATTTTGTTTTGAAAGATCCAGCATTTTCATAATATGTCACAAAATGTTAACTGTCATTATCATTTATAAAGCATTTCACTAGCTGAGATTTACTTCTATAACTTGTGATAAATATACTGATGCTTTAGTTTAAAAAGAAAATAAAAACTCGTTTGCTAGTACCATTCTGTACATGTCAGAAAAGTCCAAATTGTAAATTCCCTAAAAATAATTTAACACACTGTATTATTAAATGACTGTGCCTTTTTAGAAAATTAAGAAGATTTGGATTGGCATTATCTTACAATGAACAAATTAATTAAAACGCTTTGTTTGTTTGTTGTTAAGCGAAAAGCTACGCAACGGACTATTGTGCCATGCCAACTGTGGATATACAAACCCGGAATTTGAGTGTTATAAGATTTACCACTGACCAACCGGTGGACAGTTAAAAAACATAAAGTCAACTATCTATATACGGCACCCGGAAGAACGATCCTTTTTTAAAATAAACCATTAGCAGTCAGCAACCATATAGGACGAGCATGTTCGGTGGAAGAGATTCGAGCTCGCGCCCCTCAGATAGCAAGTCGAGCGCCTTAACTACCAGGCTATATGCTAAGGCCCGCATATGATTGATGATCACTACAAAGAAGACGTTATCATCCTTCATTAGCCACATGTCATTACTGTTTAAAGTGAGATATGAAGTCCTTATAATTAGTAATCAAAACACTGCTGAAATCCATAAGCTCTTTTTCCTAACGAATGTACAGTTAAGAGCACAAATGTTTCATAAAAACGTTTGCAGAAAATTCTATTTTTCGCTATCTGGTGCCGGTTTTACTGACAGTAAAAATATGTTTGTTAGAGTAGTGTAAATGTTTATTATTTCAGCGCAGTTAGTTTTGCTAACCATACAAATGATATTGCTTTAATAAGACTCATTGTGGACATAGATATTAAGCTTCCAAGCCTCTTCCTTTAAAAGAGCCACTCTGTGTATTGACATTAACTTTAACAAGCTCTTGTTTGTACAAGAGTCATTCCGTGTACTAACAGCTAGTTTATCAAGCTCTTCGCTTTTAGAGAAGTCGCTATATGTTTTGCGATACCAGGTTTACCAAGCTTCCTATTTCCTATGTGCTGACATTAAGTTTAAAGAGGTGTTGCTTTTAGTGTAATCATACCTTGACTTTTAGACGAGTCACTCTGTTTAGAAATACCAAAACACGTTTTTTTAATTTTAAAAGAGTTACGAACAAGCCGTCACAAGAGAAATATTTCCAAGCTTTCAACATTTCTAGCTTTTCTTTTGCTTTATTTGTGTAAGGAGGGTAAAAAATAAATAGAAAGGTCTAGTTTTAATCTCAACAGAAATTAATATAAATATCGAAGCTGCATAACAATTATATCAGTCCAACATTGACAAAAAATACAATAATATTTAAATCGAAATTGATATAACTACTTAAAATCCGTTTACTACTTCAAAATATTTTACTTGTTTGTTTGTTATTAAGCACAAAACTATACCATTGGCTATCTGTGCTGTTCCCACCATGGGTATCTAAACTCAATTTTTAGCGTTATAAGCCTTCAGACTTCAGGCGCTGAGCCACTAGGGGGCAAATTGTTGTTTTACTAATTAACTGAAGGTCCGGCATGGCCAGGTGTTAAAGTACTCGACTCGCAACCTGAGGGTCGCGGGTTTGAATCTCCGGCCCATCAAACATGCTCGCCCTTTCAGCCGTGGAGGGCGTTATAATATGACAGTCAATCCCACTGTTCGTTGGTAAAAGAGTAGCCCAAGAGTTGG